ACATCATCCAAAACAAAAGAAAACACCAAAAACAAACCGATTCGCAATTCGACTCGAAACAAAACAAATAAATGAAAACCGTGGTGGGGTTGCCTCCCCACTAGCGCTTCTTTACCGTCTTTTAGCTGGACGCCCATGGTGGATACTCAGCGGGGTGCAGGAACAGGTGCCTCCAAGAGCGGATCCACATCGCTCTTGAGGTACAGCTTCAGGTGGTGACCGTGCACCCGACGGTTGCAACCACCAGCAGTGGTCAGCTCGACCTGGCCATCCGGCAAGATGCAGGCGAGTGAGTACTCGAATGGCCAGGGTGGTCGTGGTGCAGGGGGTGGAACCAGCTCGTAGTGGTCTCCACCCTTCTTCCGTGCAGGCTTAGCAACCTGCTGCTTCGGCCGCCACTCCTCCTTGAGCTTTTTGTTCGGAGGCGAGGCTGGATGGAGTGGCGGCGAAGGAATGATAGGAGGGTCCTGCAAAATGAGAGGTGCAGGAGGATACACGACAGGCTCGTGTATCTGGTCAGAAATGGCATGTACAGGGGTGACAGCAATCATAGCACAGTGATCAAACTCAGTCACAGAAAAAGTAGCCTGTTCATTTCCAGCACGCAAGATCAGTTTACCATCATGCACATCAATAAGTGCTTTGGCGGTGGCAAGAAATGGTCTACCCAGAATCAAAGGCACATCCACATCATCATTTATATCCAAAATAACAAAATCAACAGGATATGTGAATGCACCCACATTAACAAGCAAATCCTCTATGATACCCCTAGGATGCACAACGGAACGATCAGCTAACTGAATGCTCATCCTAGTAGGGCTAAGTTCACCTAGGTCTAGCTTTTTGAACAGTTTATATGGCATGACATTAATGCTAGAGCCTAGGTCCGCCAAGGACTTTCCTATATGCATGCTGCCAATAGTAAGAGGGATAGTAAAACTCCCTGGATCCTTGCGCTTTTCGGGCAGCTTGTTCTGCAGGATGGCAGAACACTCCTCGCTCAGCAGCACTGTCGAGAGATCCCCAAGTTTCTTCTTGTTGGTGAGGAGATCTTTCATGAACTTTGCGTACTTGGGCATCTTCGACATTGCCTCCACAAAAGGTACGCTGACGTCGAGCTGCTTCAACATTGCCATAAACTTGGCAAACTCAGTCTCCAGCTTGTCTTTGTGTAGGCGAGTGGGGAAGGGAAGCTGGGGTACGTGCTCCTTCGCCACTGGTTATGGCTTGGGAGCAGGGGCTTCCTTCTCCACCCGCACTTCTGCATCACCGGCTGGAAGTGCTGAAGCAGGTAGTGGTTCCTCCTGCCTGGTCGGGGCAGGATCAGCTGATGTAGGCCTGCCGCTCCCGGTGAAAATGGCATCCAGTTGCTCGTGCGGGTCCCGTGGATTGGGGATGGTGGTGGCAGGCAGAGTCCCCGGGGCCCGAGCAGTAAGCTGGCGTGCTAGGACACCGACTTGGTGCTGTAGATCTTGCAGAATAGCACCCTGGTTCCTCTGTCCTGCCTCCAAAGAGGCTATGCTCTGGTCCACCCTCGTGAAATTCGCCTGGCTGGTGGTCATGAATGTCGCCAAAATGTTCTTCAGATCAGCCATCTGTTATCGGGAGCTGGGGCTGCTGCTGGCTCGGCAAACTGGCGCTGGGGCTGCTGGAATGGCTGCCCTTGCCTAGGCTGGTAGGGCTGCTGCTGTGGTGGTGGCCCCTGCCTAGCCTGGAAGGGCTGCCTCTGCTGGAAACCACCTGCTGGTGCTAGGAAACCAGGTGGCTTGTTGGTGTTGCTGCTCCAGGCAAAGTTGGGATGCTGGCGCCATCCCTCATTGTAGGTATTGCTATATGGGTCTAGGCGCCGAGCATTGGCAATGAAGTCCACCTGCTCTTGGGGAGTAGAGGACTCCCTCATAGACTGACAATCTTCCACCAGGTGGTTCGGGCTCTCACACCACTGACACTGAGCTACTGGAGGCGGAGCTACACCTCGGCCCGGAAGGAGACTGTTGGGCTGCTTCAATGTCTGCACCAACTCAGCCACCTGCTGCTCTAACCCGGACCTGGCCTCCATAGCGTGCACACCCCGGTCCCGGGAATTTCTGCCTCTGCTGCTCTGCCCCCAGGAATGATCGCGGGCAGCCAAGGTACTGATCATCTGGTTCAGATCGGGTGGAGTCTTAGTGAGAATATCCCCTCCTGGGCATAGAGACTCGATCACCCTTTGGCTGTCTGGGGTGAGGGCACTGTAGAAGTTCCCTACTGTGAAAGCATCGCTGAATCCATGATGGGGACACTGCCAGAAGTATCCCATGTACCGCTCCCATGCATCACGAAGGGACTCATCTGGCTCCTGGCGGAAGTGAGTGATCTCCCGCTGAATCTCAGTAGTCTTCGATGCCGGATAATACCTGTGCACGAACTTGTCTGCCAGATCGTCCCAAGAAGTAATGGACAAAGGGGGCTGGGTCTCCAACCACCTCTTAGCATTCCCCGCCAGAGAATGGGGGAAGAGGTGAAGACGGATTGCATCATCCGGAACACCATTCAGCTTGAACCCGTTCGTCAGCTGCAGAAAACGGGAAATGTGTGCTCGGGCTTCCTCATCCTTCAAACCATGGAACTGGATAGATGATGTGATGAGTTGAATCCAGCATGGCTTGATCTCGAGGTTGTTTGCTGGGATGGGTGGATAGAGGATGACCGGGCGGATGTCAGCAATCCGTGGAGTGTAGTAGTACTCCAAGGTGGGACCCGGCGGTGGTGGTGGATGCTGATTCACCGGGGGAGCCTGTCGGGCATTCCTCGGTTGTGGGATGTCTTCGCCCTCCATCTCGCGCTCGTCCTCGGATTCGCTGCTCAATTGGCCGTCTCTGTACTCCACCGTAGCCAGTCTAGCTCGCTGTTGTCTCCGAAGTTGGGTGCAGGTGCGTTCAATCTCTGGATCCAACGGCAGTAAACCTCCCGACTGGCTACGGGTCATGCACTATCTGCACACAATCAAGCAATGCAAACCCGTGAAGGCACAAGTGGGAAAGAGCAAAAACTCAATGCGAAAATGAAAATGCTAGAGTAACAGAAATCACTTTTCTTCAACAACCTAGCCGTCCCCGGCAACGGCGCCAAAAACTTGACTCACTCCTACTGTCACTCTAGAAAATGGCCAAGTGAAACCACTTCCTAAAGCGTAGTATAGCGGGTTTGGGTTTTAATGTCAACCCGGGTCCTAGATGTGATGACTACTCAGTGAATTCGTATTATCTAGCAATGAAACTTTAGTGAAGGTCTAAACTAACAAGCAAGCAAAGCAACTAAACGGTTGTTTTCAGGTTAAGAGAGGTCACCCGGATATGGTTCCCCCTAGTCTGCAGTTAAGCCGGATTGTAATTACCAAGTTCAATTTCTATGATAGTTATACTGCGGAAGGTTCTCAAACAGTCTGAAGTCTCGACTAAAGGTCTTCAGACCCTCTCAATCTGAGTCTCTAGCGGGCGACTAACCTCCACCGGAGTAAACAGATTGAGGCCTTATGAACAAAACCTCCACTACCGAATTGAATTCGGTACAGAATAGTGAATTGGCTCCTCGACTAAAGTCACCAATTCCCTACCTTCGATTAAGGGCACTCTATCAACCTAGGCAGATATTATCATTCTAGGTTAAAGCAGAAACAACAGGAATTTGATCAGGATTCATGCCATTCAATCATTCAAACCTCAATCGAATATAATCAATTCATAGAAACATTACTTGGGTTCATACAATCAATCCCAACATACAGAACTAGGGTTTCCCACACCCAGATGAATGGGAGAACTACTCCATGGAGAGAGAAGCAAAAGCAGAATCAGACGCGGAAATCATACTGTGAAGATGGATTTCTGCTCCTGGACGTTGAATCGGCACTTCTCCAAGCTCAAGCCAAGCTCCAATGGTGTTGAAGATCAAGCTAGGGCACTTGGAGACTCTTGTTCGTCGCTTTCTCTCTCTAGGAATCGCTCTGTCTCTCTAAAACTCGAATCGCCTTCTCTTTGGCTGAAAATCTGCTTAAAATGGCATCAGTGGCCAAAGCACGGTCGAGGGCACGGCCGTGCTTTGCCTCAGCCCGCCCGTGCTTTGGCTAGGGTTAATTACACCGCCATGTGTTGGGAGAAACACGACTGTGCTTTAGGGAGAACACGGCCGTGCTTTGGTGGAACACGGCCTTGCTTTCAGCCCGTGTTTTTAGCTCGAGTTGGCCAAACACAAATCAGCTCTCGGCAGTAAAAGCACGGTCACAGAACACGGCCGTGTTCTGAAAGCCTCCTGCCCGTGTTTTCACTGCCGAACCTGTTCCCCTATATTCAATGCTTCGTTTCTCCCTCATCCGGACTCCGAATCAGTCGCCGTTTGATCTCAGACGCTCGTAGTCTCGTCCTCTTTCTTTTCATGACAGACTTTCACGATTATTTGTCCATAAAGGGAGGTAAAAATCCATTCTTCTTCAGGTCATGCCAGAGTTTCTTCTCCCGAATCGCCAATTGATCTCTGATTGACTTGAAACTTGCGCCTATGCTTCACTTTATGTGCTAGGACCTGAAATGTAACAAAGGAACACAACCTAGCGTAAAATAGGCCACAGAAGCGATAATGCAAGCTTAAACGATCGAGAAACAAAGGTGAAAAACATGTGCAAATATCGAGTCATCAAGCTCCTTCTCTTTTTCTACCTTCTTTCTAATTCTCGGACACAACAAGTCAGTCGTAGCAGATAGCATGTTAAACTTGATTACAACTCGATCCATCATGTAACCCCTAATCCCCTCGAGCATATCTATGATTCTCATTCCCCTATACTTAACAATTGTTCCATTCCAGGTTTCACAGATATTACTCTCCACTGAGTCACACTTAGGTAAATGAGATATATAAGAAGGATCGGCAGAAGTATCTAGGTTCTTGGTCCATGAAGTCTTTAAAAGGTGTGCTAAGTGGGTCATTACCTTCAATCTCCTCCAATTCAGCAGTTGCCTTCTTCCAATCAACTTCATTGCAGGCATAGACTGCGTTCCATAATACTTTGCGGACCCGATCTGTCTTGTTTTTAGACTTCCAGTTTGCATATACATGCCTTGCACACTTCCTATGCTCCGCATCTGGCAACAGGTCACGTAGAGCATCAACCAATCCCTAACACAAAAGATAATTGTATAGGGAGTTAGCAATTTCAAATGTGTATTAAGTCAGATAATAGAGAACCATACTCTTACCTTTTGTTGATCGGATATGACAGACCAGCCCCTTCCATCGCGTAAGTTCAGTTCCTGCGACAAGATGTTCACAAACCACCTCCATGAATTTGAATTTTCACCCTCCATAATTGCCCATGCAACTGGGAACATTTGGTTGTTCCCATCCTTCCTTACAGTAGTAAGCAGCATCCCTTTCACCTCTCCCTTCAAAAAGCAGCCATCCAAACCAAACATCGGGCGACAAGCTAAAAGAAATCCGTCTCGTAGGACCGAGAACCCAACATACAACCTCTGGAAGAATACCTTCTCCTGTGTAGGATGCGGTTCAACCTCCAAAACAAATTTCCCCTCTCGATCCCGCTTAAGCAATTCAGCAATATAACTCCTTATACCACGATACTCATCCACTAAAGAACCACTTAACATTTTAATCGCTTCCACCTTAGCCCGGTAACATGTTCTCTTTTTCACCTCCATATTGTGCTTCAACTTGATTTCTGCCATAATCTGATCAGGACTCCATTCTGGATTGATTCTGAATCTGTCCAGCATATCAGATGCAATCTACTTGGCCATAACTTGATTGACACGTAGGTTGCATTACAAGAGTGCAGCAATCCAACCTTCCTAACCATGAAGATGTGATTCCTCCAAAACAGCTCGCATAAACCTTCCATTTGCACCTCTTATCCTTGCATACAACCTCTTTTCTATCCTTCTCACTCCTCTTCCATCTCAAGCATGCCCCTACTACTACGGAATGAAGTACAACCTCATTCTTAAACTGCTCCACACTGTCGAACTTGAGACGAGGAGTGAACTGAAATTGTTTATGATCACACTGAGGATCATAACGTGGTGCATCAGCGAATGGCTCGGCATCACCATCGTCAGACAGATTGCCCCTCACATGATCAGAATCTTCTGACAGTCTATAGCTGGAATGCTGAGAAGTCTCCCTTCTTTCCTCCTGGGCATGAGGAGCTTCAACAAATTCGGCTACTTGCTAAGTTCTGGCAGCGCCTTCACCTTGTAATTCACCATCAATCTGGACTTGAGGAGCAATCTCCTCATCAGTTTCATCCTCGGATTCCTCTTCAAACTCATCCATTTGATCAACCTCTTCCCTATAGGTGTCAAAACATAGCCCGACTCATTTAACCCGCCCGATCAACCCGACCCGCAACCCGAATTGACTAAAAGTCAACAACCCGTAACCCGCCTGACCCGTAACCCGATTGACCCGCAACCCAACTAACCCGCAACCCAACTGACCCTCAACCCGATTAACCCGAACCCGATTGACCCGCAACCCGACTGACCCGCAACCCGATTAACCCGCAACCGGATTGACCCGAACCTGACTAACCTGTAACTCGATCGACTCAACCCGAAATTCATCTAATCCACTTGAATAATTATAAAAATATACAATACATAGTTTTTCAAAATAAATTTTTTCATTCTAAACTTAAGTAAATTATTTTTTCATTTCGTATAGGAAATTTAAAAAATATGAAACTCACTTGATATTACGTATTTTAAGAAAATTACAAAAATTGAAACATGAAGGTCACTTGAGATCATGACAATATTAATATAATATATAAATTAAAATTTTGGTTAATTTAACTATTATATAAAATTATTAATTAAATATAAATAAATTAAAGTAATGTATTTGGTAATTTGATGTTTTTAAATGAAGAGGGAAATTTTGGTGTATTCAAGTTTTTGGGAAGAGAAAGAAGAGGGAAATTTGGTTCTTTGAATTTTGTAGAAAAGAAACAAGTGGGAATTTTGTTGGTTTTGATATGTGGGAAGAGAAAGAAGTGGGAAAGTTTGATTCTTTTGATTATGAAAGAGAAATAAGGAGGGAAACTTTTGAATTTTCAACTTTTTGTAGAAGGAAAGAAGAGGGTAATTTGGTTCTTTCAATTTTATGGAAGAGAAAGAGGAGGGAAAATTGAGTTTTCTAATGTATGGAAGTAGAAAGAAGGAGGGAAATTTTAGTATTTTTGTGAAAAGAAAGAAGGAAACAAATTTGGTGTTTTCAATTTTTTGGTTTTTCATAATTTTAGCTTTTGAAATATGAATCTTTAACTTTTATATGGAGGGCATGACTAGTTAAAATTATTCTTATATGCTTTGCAGGCTAAATTATATATATATATATATATATATATATGTAATTGTTTATGGGTTAATAAATAAATTAACCATTAGTTACAACAATTTATACTAAACTTGATAAGTAATCTTTAACGGTTCGTTGTTTAAGATATAAAGTATATGGTTAGGGTATAGGGTATAAGGTACATATGGTTTAGGGTGTATATGGTTAGGGTATAAGATATTGATGGTTTTGACGGTTCTAAGTTTTTTATTAACATATGTTCACTTGAAGTCATTTGAAGTCTTTAACGGCAGGAGATCCCTTTTTAATTTATGTTTATGGTACGTGGTTAGGGTACAAGGTATGTGGTGTAAAGTATAGGATATATGGTTAGGGTATAACAATTAGCACATATCACTTTTTATCTATGTTTTGAAAATCAAAGTATGAATTTAACTTTTAAATTAACTATACTAGCAAAATCACAACTCAAAGACATATGGTTAGGGTATAGGGTATAAGCTATGTGGTTAGTGTATAATGTATTGATGGTTTAGGGTATACAATCAACAACATATACTAACTTAATATTGTTGATTGAGGGTAATGCTAAGTGTATAGGATATATGCTATTGAGTAAGTTATGATTGAAGTCACAATAATTTTACTAAATTTGATAGCTAATCTTTAATGGTTCAATTTTTAGGATAATTCGAACAATTTTACAAATAACTCGTTTGGCAACAGTTTACTGAAGTTATTTGGGAAATGAGTTATTTTGAAATAACTACTTTTATCACTATGTTTTTGCCAAATACCACACGCCAAATACCAGATTTGCATGGTTATACTAAACGAGATACTTTAATCCAATTACTACTGAATTGATACTAAAATATCAAATAAACAATTAATGGTGTCTTTTGGTTGCAAATATTGATATCAACATTACTATTAGCTATAATACTTTACCAATTATGATTAATTACATAACAAGTTTGCAAGTCATACAAATTGATTTAATATTTTGACTAGTTTTTTTCAAAAAAATAAAGTATATATATATGAGGTAGAAATAAATTGGTTAAAAAGTTGAGAAAATATTTTAAATTAGTGTAATAAAATGTGTAAGTTGGTAATGAGTAATGAGTTAAGTTACTTAATGCGCTGGCCCGAACAACCCGAAACCCGATCCGCCCGCAACCCGCCCGACCCAAAACCCGATGAACCCGCAACCCGATTTGCCCGCAACCCGATTAAACCCGAACCCGATGAACCCGCAACCCGCAACCCGACTAACCCGCAACCCGTTTGAACCCGAACCCGATGAACCCGCAACCCGTTTGAACCCGAACCCAGCCCGAACCCGCCCGATTGACACCTATACTCTTCCCCGTGACAATCAGCCCTTGCCTTAACTTTCCTTTTCCTCATCTCGCCATAAGCTCGCAGATTAGCCCTTGCCTCATGGTACTCATCATCCGACGTATCTGCATCATTGGAGTCATACACATGTACCAGGTCACGAGCAACGGAAGCAACCCCATCCTCTGCTGCCCAGCTAGCATCCGAGTCTGCTGGTTGGTTTGGATCGTGCTCTCCTACCAACTCCTCCCACGAATCAGCCATATGGACAGAAATAATACGATTTATGTAGGGATAAACGACAAAGCAACTAATTAAGTGATTAACCTAATCTAAACAATTTTTAATTCACTAACAAACAAATTCCACACACAACCATTCACCATTATTCTATGCGAAAAGGTTTTAGCTACCAACCAGTCAATTACTATGGTACCCAGAATTTGGAAGTGCTGACCTTCAGATTTCAGGGGCAAATCAGCGACACGAGAGGGAAGTGGTCCCTGTTCGAATATACTCTGTCGCTTTCCAACCTTTAAAGCAAGCTTCGACAATTGAAAGCCACAACCCAATAAATAAGAACCTTTTGCCCACAATTGAAAGCCACAACCCAACTAATTCAAGAGTACCCAGTGCTCACCAGCTTCCGACAACCGAAGAGAAAAGAAATCGTCGATTCCTGCTTGCGATTAGGGTTTCCGGAAAAAACCTTTATCGGTGGTCCTAGGCTTCGACGGTGCCTTTGCCATGAACAGGACACTTGGGTTTCGTCGGGAAACGACCGTCGTCGGTCTATTACGTCGGAAGATGCATGCACGACATCATCTGGCTAAGGCGGCGACGACGGGGGGATGGAACGAAATAGGGCGGGATACAAATTTCTGGGTAGTAAGGGCGCCGATCGGAATAGGTGATGGGATTCTTTTAGATAGATCGACAGTTGTTGAGGGAATGATGGGAAAGAACACCTCGTCGATCGTCGTGGTCGGAAGGAAGAAATGGAGATGAACGAGCGAAGAGTTGGAGAAGAAAGTGAAAAAGTTAGGGTAGAGTGGGTTTCGGTGTTTTATTCTTCATTTTTTTTTAGGTCCACGTGGATTAGTGGGGACGCTAAAACGCCAACTCAGCCTTCCTTTCAGTACAGTCACCCAGTTACTTCACGCCGTTAAATGGAAGATCGAAATTGGGTATTTCGTGTATTTCGATAGTTATGGATATATTTGTCACAAACGTGAAAGTTATGGATATAGAAGTGTATTTTGCCTATAGATTATTCGTCATATTTTTGAATTGCACTATAGTCTGATCATATACTTCAAAAGGTGGAGAATAAGGAATAGTTTTGACTACTATTATTGGTTTTTGTGTTGTGTAATATTCATTAGATATTGGATATTGGTATGCAAATTATTGTTAATATCTATTAAATATTGGGATGCAAAGTATAAATTATTAATTGTATCAATATCATAAATTATTGATACAATCTTACTAATTTTCTATGAAATTATTATAAATGTTAGTCAACTTCTTAATGGCTAGTTGGAGAATTGCTTTTGTGGGTTGACCCGCGATCCAACCGCACCCA